AATGGTACAAAGCATGATCTGACTCGACCATTTTTGACAGCCCCCCCCCCCTTCTAGAATCAAATGGCCGTATCCTGAAAAAATATGTCTCCTATGACATTTTCCAATGTCCTTAAGATTATATTATATAGGCTATAAACTCATATCAATATATTTACATTCCCAATGTCTTTGTCCGAGATAAAATTACAAATTGTAAATGTACTTTATTTCCCCATCAACGTATTGGCGCGGTTCCAAGAAAACCAAGTGCAGGGCGGAACAAACACCTAGACAGAAGCAGGGCTAGGAGCACGTGGATTGGCTGAATCAAAGCATGTAAATATAAGGAATAACTGTCAGATTTTTCAATTTCATGAAGATGATCAATCGATTGGCTTGCGTGATAATTTTATGCATAAACGCCTTCGGCGTTTATGCAAATTATCACGCAACCCAATCGATTGATCACATCATGAAACCGAAAAATAAGACAGTTATTCCTTAAATAAATTTCAACCAAAATATATTTGGGAATTGAAATTATTTGTCTTTAGGATCATACATTCACACTTTGCTTTAAAAAACAAATCAGTTGGATTGAAAATGAATTTCAAACTACAGTTTCAATCAAATGTTTTCTCGGTCGTCCGCGTCGAACTGTACACACCCATTTTATTGTCTATCATTATATGCTTTGATTGTAACAGATAGAAATAACGTAAGCTGCATATTTCGAATCTTGCCAAATTATGTTCCGCGGTCTTATAACTCAGTGAAGTTACAGGGGAGATTTAATGAAAAATTATATACATTAAAAAAAAATTAAAAAAATTTTGTCTGTTGCCATGGCAACAGTGATGTACTTTAAACTTTCAAAAGGATTTGATTAAAAACAGTCATTAAAAATAAATTTTTAAAAAACCCCACTTTTTCAGTGTCCATGGTAACAGTGGCCATTTTGAAAAAAAATGAAGAAAGATTGCACATTTTTAGCGATCTTAATGACAGTGGACTTTCATCAAGATTCACAAAGTCATCTTTGAGAAATGTGCGGACCGCATTATTGGTCAAACAATAGCAATATTCATGTATCTCGCCGACTTAGTACGGGGTGACTAATAAACGAGGATGTTATAACTGTAAGTCCTTGATAGTGAGCGATTTTAACGTATCGATGGATGAAGAAATAGGAATTGTGCATCCTATTACAGATATATAAATTGCATGTAATATGTATCTACTGATCAAAGATCCACAATGGTCACTTACGAAATTAAAGTGAAAACCGGGGATGTACTGGGGGCGGGTACAGATGCCAACGTAAAAATAGTTCTACTTGGTAGATGTGGGAAACAAACGCAATCCGCCAATCTGGATAACAGGTTTAGAGATGATTTTGAAAGATTCCGGACAGATGTCTTCACCATAAAAGATAAAACAGATATTCCTGAAGTGACTGAAATCAAGCTGCGGAGAGACAAAGCGGGTTCCCGCAGTGATTGGTTTGTCGAAAAGATCCAGGTAACCAATCAGAAGAGCGGGTGTACTTCTGTTTTTCCAATACTTCGGTGGATACGTCCTGATATTGACCTTTATTTTGGACGATATGACGCCTTTCTGCCTCAGTTTGATCCTCATCCAGAACAGCGAAGGGCTGAACTTTATGAGAAAAGAAAACTATACGAGTACCAAGAAAAAAGACCGGGATTTCCCGTTCAGGTAATAATTAACAATACATATTCTTACATCACTAAATGAATAATGAACGCTAGTCGTTCTCCATTAATTGTGTTCTATGTTATTAATTGATTGCTATTTTACGAATTGATTGCTATGCTATTAATCGATTGCTATGTTATTAATTAATAGCTATATACTCAATCGATCACTATGTTACTAATTGATTGCTATGTTATTAATTGATTCCTTTGTTATTAATTGATTCCTTTGTTATTAATTGATCGCTATGTTATTAATTGATTGCTATGTTATCAATTGATTGCTATGTTATTAATTAATTACTATGTTCTCAATCGATTGCTATGTTATTAATTGATTGCTGTGTTATTAATTGATTGCTATGTTATTAATTGATTGCTGTGTTATTAATTGATTGCTATGTTATTAATTGATTGTCAGGTTAAAAAAGTCCCCGATGACGAGGAATTTTCCTTTTGTCACAAGGTAGGTGACGTTGTACTTCTTCTTTGACAATCTAATACAGAATTCAATAAGGATATAGCTATCTTTGTTTCATTACTACTTTTACTTATTTTATTACATTCCTATACCAAAAGCTATCAACTGCATGGATTCATGAACTGTATCGTGTCATAAAACAGAACAGTTAAATTATTTTTAAAAAGTATTTTCACTGACATTTCGAAGAATTATCGTTGTCTTCATTTTGCTAGAAATCAATTATGATTTTGACATCGCATGTCGAAATGTTTTGACGTTATAATTACATTGCTAACAACATGACGTCACAGACTCGCGATTCCTTGAGCGCTCCGCCAACTGAACACTTTGATTGGTTAAAATTAGTAATAAATATTCATGAGGGAGTAGTCCCAGGGAGTAGTTCTGATTTTCCAGGGAGTAGTCTTCAGATGAGGGAAATAGTCTCTTCTCGGGGAAATAGACAGTTTTATGGTATTGATTTTATATAGAGTAATTACAGTAGAGGTATAATAAATAAATTTATCAAGTCAATTTCTTTCCATTATTATTTCAATCTACGATGTTGCAACTATAGCATAGTTGTATCGTTTAACTTTCATTCCAAAAGCAAGTTTCAGGAAAGAGGAAGTCCTTAGATCCTTACCCGTTCGATTTTATTTCCAAGAAAAAGTCTGATGAAGATTTAAACAATCTTTTCTATAACGTAAAAATGAGAGTTCAGAGAACGAGAATTACATGAAATTGTTGTGACCGATCCGCAGGGGATGCTCACTGCTCCATGGCACCTGATCCAATCTCTAATGATTTTAGAGGTCCTTTTTTGCTGCCGATTTGTATTGTATGTATGGACTTTTCATATACATAAAACGATGTTTTCATAATCTCAGTTTGATCTGACTAAGATGAAGCTCACTATGGAGGCCAGCAAGGCGAAGGAGATGATATTGGGTGATGGAGCGTGGGAAACTTTAGACGACATGAAAAATATCTGTTTGAAAACATTTAAAGTGCCCAAGGTAAGAAATCAAAAGTTTAATCTTATTGTAAATTTTGATACTTATTTTCTTTTTATACTGTTTACCTCAACAATACAAACTTATATAAGTGAGCCAACTTCTCAGTTTTGTCAGATAGCTCCACTGAGCACTTGACTAATTGTTGTCTTATTAAGTATGATGAATTCTGAAAACCAAGATCATAATTTTTATAAAGACAAGTTCTAATTATTATTCAGCA